AGGTTGTGCAGAGAAAAATTATATATAATCAAAAAGAAAAACAATGTTATAAAAAGTATATATACTAAAATTAAATATATTTAAACACATGCGGAGGAATGAGCACCATGTCTTATGGAAAGTGTATAATATGAATGTGGATGGATGTAAAGAGAGGGGACGCCCTAAGAAAAGATGGATGGATTGTGTGAAAGATGATATGAATAAAAGAAGAGTATGTTTAGATATGACGACTGATAGAGAGCAGTGGAAGAGAATGACATATTGCGCCGACCCTAAATAATGGGATAAAGGCAAGGCAATGATGATGCGTATAATGCAAATAATATATTTTATTAGTGGTAGACTTCGTACATAGTAGTAGTACGTGTTAATACAATGGTATTAACAATTTTTGCCAACGCAAAGCAGCTTATTTGTATTCTACGTTGAAATTATCATCTTGTTCTTCCTTATCGCAGACCAAGTGGCAGATGGTCGGAGGATGTTAAAAACAAGGTCGACCTGGACAAGATTCGTATATCGAAGAAAATGAAAAATTATGCAAGAGGCATAATAGTGCACTAATTGATGCTGATTCAAATTAAAATTCAATCATTTATTCATTTTAACCTCTATTGAACTTAAAATTTTTAGGTTAAGTTAGACTAAAGAAGAAGAATAAGAAGAAACAAACAATGTTTCTAACAAATACATTGTGCTTTCTAATCAGAAGGTATAAAATAATTACATTACCTTCTCAGTGCTTTAATTAAGGAACAAACTGTAGTAATAACATGGTTGCAGTTTGACTCGCGTCTGAAATTACAGCTTCATACCAGTTCTTTGTCTATAAACACTAGCTCTATCTCGCTGCATCGCTCATATCAAGTAAGAACCAAAATAATGAATTGAAAATTGACGTTTTTTTTTTCAATTTAAAGTGGCCAGACTTCAATTAATAATATTCTTTATATGTTAAACTATCTATGATCTATCCACGTATTATACATTTTTATTAGATTCCGTACAATTTGAGGGTAAGAAATATTCAAAAGTATAATAGTCATTTTTAACAATAATGCTGACGGAAAAATTGAAAGAGGCATCGTCAGGCATCGAATAGAGTTCATATATAGCTTGGAAGGCATCTGAGAACAACCACGACGAGATGAGAACGACAAGATAGTGTACAATATACTAATATATTCAAATAAACTTACATTGAAGCACTTTTGAATAGTCATCACAAATTTCAATCTACCGCACATTCGGAAAGCTGTCTCATCACAAGAAGAAAAATCAAGAAAGTTGCGTGTTGCTCTTTTAAATAATTTTATTGTTATTTTACATTTTTAAGTTGAAGTGTGTGAATACCAACTACTACACTACATCAATTAAATACTCAAATAGAAAAAATATTAAATATACAACCAACTAATTGAGTAACTAAATAAGAATAAATTAGTCATAGTGATTAGAGCAGACCAGGCTTTACAAGCAGCATTCGTTCACGAGTATGACGTATGAGCCAGCCATCACTGAGCTCAACCATATTTTTTGGAGCCCAATTAGAGTCGCGATCCTCAGCAGTGAGGAAACGATCAAAAAGAAGGAGTGAAATGGATTTCTGCAAAATAACACCTAATTCGATTTAATATAATTCAGACGAAACCAAATGCAAAAGCTAGTATGGAATAATTAAATCGACTTCTCGGTGCTTTAATTAAGGAACAACGATAGTAATAATGGATGCAGTTCGCCTCGCGTTTGAAATTGCAGTATTTATTACCGGCTCTTTGTTTGTATCGAACGGGTTTGCTATTACTAGTATTTATTATACGTCTTACTGCACTCTCGGTCTTTGACTTATTACAACTTTAATTTATTACTTACAACTGCTGGTGAAGTTAGTCAATTCTTATAAGAGATATATATATAACTAGCTAGCTCCAGCTTCGCACGGGTGTATTCTACATATAAACCTTCCTCTTGAATCACTCTATCCATTGTCATTAAAACTACATTATCATCCATTGCGCAGTTTAAAAGATATAAGCGAATAGACAATAGACAGCGGAACTTACTTCATTTAAACTATGTAAAAATAATAATAATAATAACTCAGGACAATTCATATAGCGCCATCTAGTCCCAAGGTATACAGAGCTTATGTTATGAGTATCAAAAAACTAGTACAAAAGTATATAAATATTTTTTTGTAAATACATATATAATACACGTAGAAAATGCTCAGATTAAAACAAACAATCATCCTAATGAACACAAATATTTCTACCGTACGATTGGAACCTGCGACCGTAAGAAGTAAGACGGTGTGCTAAATCGCTAGACTACCGAGGCCATTAATAACATTTTATTCATCATTATATCGTTATAAGTAGAGTTTACAATAATGCTTTTATATAGTAAAAGCATTACTGTAAACTCTACTTATAATACTGTTAAGTTGTATAGCTTAAAAGTTAACTCTACTGGTAACCCTGAAAGTGACTACCACTTAGTATTAACACTGTAGCATAACCAAGTTATCACAGCGCTGATAGTCAGAACAGCCACCAGACACTATACGCCGTACGTACAGATGGCAAAAGAAAATAGTTTGTCACTAAAATATAAAATGCAATTTTCATTAATCCATATACCTTTTTTTTTATCGTGGAGAAAATCTTGGGGAACGGGTGGGATATGTGAGATTGGTACACACTAAAAACTCCACGGTGTTCCTCGGTACGCCAAGTCAGCATGCCACAGTAAGTACATTTATATTCTACCGCGACAGCTGTAGCGACCATATACCATATACCAAGTAATTTTTGTATATGCTGTTATTTACATCATACAGTTTATACTGCAAATAATATAAATGACGTAGTGGAGTAACTTGAAACTGTCATGTTCGCTATAAAGTTCAAACTTGTAGCGGCGTGACGGGCCGGGTCGATGTGCTCCTTCTAATATGGTTGAGTGTAATGATGGCTGGCTCATCCGTCATACTCGTGAACGGGTGCTGCTTGTGGGGACTGGTCTGTTCAGGTTGCGAACACTGATTAGATTTTTTGTTTTTTGCAATAGCATATGCTGGTGGTCACTCTATTCTCCCAAATTTGAATTTAAATGAATCTGTATTATTGTAAATATGTACAACATTTATTTTTAAAAAAATCCGAACTTAGTTTCTTATCTGTTCTTCTCATCTCGATATCATTCCGAACTGACGGTAGATTTGACACCCCTCCGATCGATCCTCCGTAATTCAAACGGGGATCAAAATTACGACGGCCTGAGCCGAGTTTCGAACCCCTAGTGGTGCCCTCAGACTAAAGTCGTATCCGTCAGGCGGGAGTTGGCCTTCAGCCGCTCCATAAGTCCTTCCGCGGGTTTAGAGTGCCATCTGCACTCGTCCCCTAACGTCCGGTGAAGCTGTAAAGGCCAGCTGCGGCCAACAGTATTAGAGTAGTCCGAAAAAAAAATAGATTTGACATATCATATAAGTCTGTAATAGACCTACATGAATGAAGGTATTTTGAATTTTGAATATATATTTTGTATATACTTTTCTCACAGTCCCTTTCTTATTCTCAAACTTTTAATGAATACGACTATTGTAATGTTTATATATAGCTATTTAGGTATTTATATATTAAAGATATAAGAAAAGAATAAATGGCGCACATAACTACACAAAGTTATGTGCACCAATTATTTTCTCATATCTTCACCTAAAGGTTGTTTAAAAAAGATTGCTTAGCAATAATACTATCTTTTGTAACAGTTATTGTATTTATATGTTTTTCTATTAATCTATATCTGTTACAATAGAGAATATAAATAAAAAAAGATACAGATAATTTTAATAATAGGTATAACTGAAATTCAATAGTCTTTTGTGTGATGTGAAAATTGATATTTTTTATATAGGTTTAACTTTTTTCCTGAGGCAGACGTGAATACAAGAAACTATGTTTTTGAGGCATAAAATTCCATTTAATTTTTGTCGGAATGACAATGAGAATCTTTTTCCAAAAAACAGCAATATTCATAATATTAATACTAGATTTAAAGACAAACTTGCTGTCCCCAAGTATCGTTTAGAAAAAGTCAATAGGTATTTTATGGGAATAGATATAAAAATTTACCAAAGGATATATTGGAATTACCTAAAATTAAATGAATTCAAAAGAACTGTTAAATTATATTCATTGAGTAAAGCCTATCACTCACTAAACGATTGCTTGAATGACGAGCGTGCATGGCAATAGTTGTTCATTCACTGGATTTTCATTCAATGTTAGACATAGACACCTATATAAATATTCATTGTAAATAATCTGGCTTTTTAAAAAAAAATTAATTCAATTGAGTTTCTTGCCAGTTCTTCTCAATTGGATGTATATACCGAACTGGATGATAGGGAAAAAAATAAAATTATAATGTTAAAATTTGACGTTCATAAGCGGCTGAAATGTCCTACGTGAATAAATGATTTTGATTTTGAATTTGAATTTGTGGGATACCATAGGTAGGTATAATGATAGGTTCATGTATATATAAGTAACGGTTTTTTTTATGGATGATAATGGAATGGTGCATCCGTCTGCGCTAACGGTTTACGGGTTTACTGGCGGGGTACCATAAGATGAACAGGAACAGGAAGGCGTTGGATACGAGCAGCGCAGGACCGATCGTCGTGGAGATTTGGGGGATGCCCTTGTTCAGCAGTGGACATCTCTCGGGATGAAATGATGATGACGATGCTCAACTGAGGTGACCATCATGTCAATTGTTCCTCCGTAACAAATTCACCAGGAACTTATTATGACGATTTCCAAGGGGAACCGCGTGGAGATCAACCTGACATGGCAATTTGGACTATTGAACCCATGTAGTCTAAGGTCAACAGTCCACACCACTATGTATCACTTTCTTCCTGTAGGCGACGGCTACCAAATCTATTAAGTGGATGGAAACCCTATTTAAATAAAAGAAAAAATACTAACCTGAGATTTCTCAGCATAATACACGAGACTCGCAAATATCACAATGCCGAGCACCAAAAAGAAGACCAATAGCGTCAGCTCCTTAGCTGATGCCTTGAACGTATGCACCAATATCTTCAGCCCCGGACTGTGCCTCGTTAACTTGAACAGCCTGAGGATCTTGATGATGGAGATGAACTCGAGGATATCAGCCTTGTCCACGTACTGTTTCACCACAGTTAGTTCCACTAACACGTCCATGTAGAAACTTAACGTTGCAATAAAGTCTATAATATTCACTGGGGATTTTATGAACTCTATCATGTTTGGGGCTACCTGTAACAAAGATACACTAGTTTCAGTTTCAGTGTACAATTTTTAGCGAGGTAGACTTAAAATACTTATCCGCGTGAATAATAATAATAATTTTAGGACAATTCACAGAGCGCCATCTAGGCCCAAGTTAAGCTAGCTAAAGCTTGTGTTATAGGTACTAGATAACTGGTACAAATATTTTTTGTAAATACACATTTTATACATAGAAAATACACAGACCGATACAAACATTCATACTCATGAATATGTTTATATTCTGCGAAGAATCGAATCCGCGCACTCAAAGGCTGTCAAACTCAGCGTTGATTCGCGAAGGTAGTTTAAAATAATAAAAAAAATCTGATGACTACTTCTTTTAAAAGAAGAAAATTAGCTCAGGTACATGAATATAGCTTCTGAATTGATATACGTGCCTTTTTATCATTATTTGATTATCATAATGTAAGGGGTTTCGCGACTTGTTGTTGATTCGTGGAATTTAACTTTATTTTTCTAAAATAAAAGTAGTCTAAGTTACTCCTTATTACCTGTCAAAAATAGTGCCGTCAAAATCGGTCCAGCCATTTCAGAGATTAGCCGGAACAGACAGACAGACAAACAAATATTGTAAAAAATGTTATTTTGGTGTATGTACCGTATTTATATTCATATGCATGTAGTAAAAAACTGTTATTTCAATATCACAAACCGACACTCCAATTTTATTTATATGTATAGACTAGCTCTTGCCCGCGGCTTCGCTCGCGTTAATTTATCCCCTTAGGGGTGGAATTTATCAAAATCCTTTCTATGGGGATGCCTACGTCAAAGTAGCTTTATAAATGCAAAATCTCAGCCCGATCGGTTTAAAATTGACAAAGTTTCATACAAACTTTCATCCCCTATTTTATCCCCTTGGGGGTAGAATTAATCAAAATTCTTCTTTTGCGGATGACGTACATAACATCTAACTGCATGCCAAATTTCAGCCCGATCCGTCCAGTGGTTTGGGCTGTGCGTTGATAGATCACTATGTCAGTAACCTTTGAGTTTTATATATTTGGATTATATTATTTGTATACATGTACAATTTATTTCTACATCTATAATATTCCCGTAATTTCGCCGTTTAAATCACTATGGTCGTAATTCTGTTAATTAATACAGATTTTAATTAAAACATACAGCTGACGGTAGTTTGCAGTCTGCGACATCAAACGCTACATGCCGAAGGGTGCGATGCCAAAGCAGTTGTTTCATTGAAATTTTCAGGGGGACATTTGGCCATATTCCAGTATTGAAAATATGAAAGCCTTTTCCAACATTTTATGTGTTCATGACATATTTTACATTTTTAAATATATGTATATTATTGTTGTTTATCGACGGTTTATTCCAGTGCTATAAAATAGTAGTTGATGAGATATAACAGTGTAGAGCATGATGATTCGTTACGATTAAGCCCACGATAAGTGTTTTAAATTTAAGTCATTATTTATACATATGACAGCCTCGGTGGTTTAGTTGTTTAGCACACCGCTTTACTTCCGTTGGTCGTGGGTTCGATTCCTCGCACTGTACAAACATTAGTATTGATGAATATGATTGCTTGTATCGGTCTGGGTGTTTTCTATATATAATATGTATTTATATCAGTTGTCTAGTACCCATAACACAAGCTCTGCTTAGCTTGGGACTAGATAGCACTGTGTGAATTGTCCTGAGATATTATATTATATTATTATATATTATATAATAACTAGTAAAAATTATGGGATATTACCACGGTTTAGTTTTATTGAGAAACACAGGAGTTTACCCGTGATCATGGCGGTAGAAACACAGCCGAAACATCGAGAACTAAATAAAAGTAAAACGTGGTAAGATCCCGTGATTTATACTAATTATACGTATTACAAAAAAAGGTAATGTGATGGATTGGATAATTCGATGATGTTGAGATATATGATATATGATAATAGGTTCTGGGACAGCAGGTACGTAGGATGAGTGGATTTATATATAGAAATAAAATATTTTAGGAAATTCCGAAAGAAAAATATAATGTCACTTTTTTGCAATAATCTTAGGAACTAACTTTCAAAATTTTATAATACATTACTTTTTAAATATAAAAAATTAAACTAAAAAGAGGTTTCATAACAGGTATATTAAATTTAATAGCAAAAAATTACAGATAACAATAAGAACTTGTTAAAGTTGGTTAACGAATGGTAGTTGGAATTTACCATTCGTCAACCAACTTTAACAAGTTCTTATTGTTAACTGTAATTTTTATACATGAACTGCACTACATTTCATGCCAGTATGTATCTTTCATTGTTGATTTGTATATATATTGTATGTATATGTATTGGTATATATGTATATATATTACTAGCTGTCCACGCAAACGTTGTTTTGCCTTAACATAAAAAAAAATTTAGGGGTGGACTACCCCTAACATTTAGAGGGATGAAAAATAGATGTTGGCCGATTCTCAGACCTACTCAATACGCTCACAAAATTTCATGAGAATCGGTCAAGCCGTTTCGGAGGAGTATGGGAACGAAAACTGTGACACGAGAATTTTATATATAAGATTAAGTTATGTAAGTATTATGTATTATATGTTAATCATAATGCACCGCCCACATGAATCTCTGTTTGCCTTATGGTTGACTGGTAGAAAATGCCTCTAGGTGTTAAGTCCGCCATGCGCACCTTTATTTGTGTATCTGTGCATTAAAGTTTTAATAAATAAACAAATAAATAAATATCTCAATATATTTGCTAATGTACATACAAAGTAGTAAAGATAAGTACCTCAGTTATATCAGCCTTAATATGAAGGATTTTAAGTTAAGGGTGATATAATGATAGTGAAATTACGACGGCCTAAACCGAGGTCAAAACCCCTAGTGATGTCCTCGGACTAAAGTCTTATCCGTTAGGCGGGAGTTGGCCTTCAGCCGCTCCGTAAGTTCATCCGCGGGTTTGGAGTGCCATCTGCACTCGCCCGCTATTGTACGGTAAAGCTGTAAAGTTCAGCTGCAGCCAGCACTGTTAGAATAGTACAAAAGAAATGAAGTGCCAAAATGCCAATGCCAGCAACTCACAAAATCTAAGTTAGAATGGTTCGAAAAAATAACCGGAACTTAATTTGTACGTGTTAATACAGTGAGTGCATTATGCCAAAATGAGTACCGAGCGAGTTTCGGTAGTAACAACTCCCCAAATCTACCGTTCGGTGGAGCTGTATAGGCCAGCACTGTTAGAATAGTTCGAAAAAATAACCGGAACTCATTTTGTACATACTAATACAATGAGTACATTGTGCCAAAATGAGTATCGAGCGAGTTTCTGTAGTAACAACTCACCAAATCTACCGTTCGGTGAAGCAATATAGGCCAGCACTGTTAGAGTAGTTCGAAAAAATAACCGGAACTCATTTTGTACGTACTAATACAGTGAGTGCATTGTGCCAAAATGAGTATCGAGCGAGTTTCGGTAGTAACAACTCACCAAATCTACCGTTCGGTGGAGCAGTATAGGTCAGCATCGTTAAAATAGTTCGAAAAAATAACCGGAACTCATTTTGTACATACTAATACAGTGAGTACATTGTGCCAAAATGAGTATCGAGCTAGTTTCGGTAGTAACAACTCCCCAAATCTACCGTTCGGTGGAGCAATATAGGCCAGCACTGTTAGAGTAGTTCGAAAAAATAATCGTAACTTATTTTGTACGTGCTATATTAGCACGAGCCAAGATGTGTATCCAGCGAGTTTCGATAGTAACAACATGCAAAATCCACCTCGATGTTTCCCTCTGATTTACAAGCCTCCCTCTGATTGAGTGGTCATTAGACTCCAATTAACTCGCTAACCCCATCATTATCACTGCATTGATTTAAAATATTAATGATGTAGATTTACATCCCTAACATTTTAAAGTATTTGAATATGATGATAAGAATAATAGGAGACTCATCATCTTCTAGGCGATCTAGCAATTTAACACGCCGCTTTACTTCCCCTGGTAGCAGATTCGATTAAGAGGTTACAGCGTTACAAAACGAGTCTAAATGTGTGGGAATCAAACCAACGCAATGACCGAAAAGCACGGTGTGTTGGAATTACGAACGAGTGTGAGAATAACATAAAATATAAATGAAAACAAGATTTGGAGAGTAAGCAATTACGAGAAGGGCTAATGAGGTTGTTAAAACGCGCTGCAGCGGTTAGTTACAGTAATTAGATTTTTTTAATTGTATACACGTAGCGTTTTCCAGTGTATTTGTGGTGATGAAATGTGACGCGTGTGCATAAATAATAAAAATACAGGACAATTCAAAATTTATATTACAGTTTACTTGTGGTGAAGAAATGTGATACGTGTGCATAATTAATAAAAATACAGGACAATTCACATTTAGTTTTTACAGTGTATTTGTGATGAAGAAATGTGATGCGAGTGCATAAATAATAAAAATACAGGACAATTCACATTTAGTTTTTACAGTGTATTTGTGGTGATGAAATGTGATGCGTGTGCCATAAATAATAAAAATACAGGACAATTCACATTTAGTTTTTACAGTGTATTTGTGGTGATGAAATGTGATGCATGTCTCTAAATAATAAAAATACGGGACAATTCATATTTATTTTTCCAGTGTAATTGCGGTGATGAAATGTGATGCGTGTGCATAAATAACAAATATACAGGATAATTAACTTTTTAATTAATTAACATTCAGTCCTAAGCTTACATTATTAAACATACAATAGAAATATTTAAATGTATATATTTTTCTAAATATGCGATTATGAGATTGAAACTGCGACCATCGGAAGAAAGGCCGGTGTGCTGAACCGCTAGACCACCGAGGCTGATTACAAGCAGCTGTAGGTATATTTAGTTCAGCTATATTTAGGTAACATTTCGCCGAGTGTAGTGAAATGATGTTCACCAAAACATTGCCTCTGGTTACAACATCGAAGATTATAGTCATGAAT